TTGTTTGGGTTGCAATCATCATGACAGGAAAATACGCAGTCTTATTAAAAAGATAAAATAGTTACTTTTTTCGGAACACAGATAAATGATAAAACATGGCAGTCAAAAAGACGAATACTAAAATAGATTTATATACATTTACGAATGATTCGAAGATTCCAAATCAGACAGAACTTTTCGATTTTACTTAATCTTCGGCTCTCTTGGTCAACAAGGCCAGTAAAATCTTAATAGAAATATTGAAATGATTGAACATTTTGTGGCATTGATAATGGACATTGCTGGCAAAAAAAGGTCAACCCACTCCGATTTAATGATTCTAACGCTCTCAGTCTAGGGTGGAAAACACTCGAAGAAAGGCAAGGAATAGTTTCAAATTCAAAAATACTTAGAGCCAATTTTGTTTTTACATACGACATTGACATTAAGTGCTTACACCACTGCGTTGGTCAACCTTCAAGCTGAGCAAATTGATTCGTAAATGTAGCGTCTTTCGACCCGCATTGTGTCCTTCATCATTCTTCTTCTTTTATATGCCGCGTTCCATCAAGGCCTGGACGATCATGACTCTCCACAGCCTTCTATCCTTTCTTGCTTTGAGCAATATTTGTTCACTTACTCTCTCTTCCAGTCCCTGTTCTGAAATCCATTTATACAAGCTTATTAAGTAGGTTATTTGATGTTAACCTTAGCACCTCTTAACTTCGATATGTTCTGTTTATCCCTTTTTCCTCATTATGTATTCCGGCAATGTAAACAGTCTTCTTTTCATTCTTTTTTTTTCTTCTTTAAACTCTGTTGCCTTCATCTGTGAGGAAAGTGTCCAGCATTCACTGTCTTATGGAGGACATATAGATAGATATGAAAATGACTGGAATAGATAGATAGATAGATAGATAGATAGATAGATAGATAGATAGATAGATAATGTGATAAAAATTAGATGAATAGATAGATAGCAGACATTGACAGAAATGGAACAAATAAGATAGATAGATAGATGATAGATAGATAGATATTGAACAAATAAGATAGATAGATAGATAGATAGATAATAGATGAATGAATGGATAACAAATTAGATGAATAGATGAATGAGATAGATAGATGAATAGATAGATAGATAGATTGAATAAGATGAATAGATAGATGTTTTGAACAAATATAGATAGATAGATAGATAGATAGATAGATAATATTGGAACAAATAAGATGATAGATAGATAGATAGATGAATGAAGATAGATAGATAGATAGATAGATAGACATTGGAACAAATAAGATGAGATGATAGATAGATGATATGATAGATAGATAGATAGATAGACATTGGAACAAATAGATAGATAGATAGATAGATAGATAGATGGATAGATAGATGAGATGAACATTGGAACAAATAAGATAGATAGATAGATAGATAGATAGATAGATAGATGAATGAATGAATACACATTGGAATAAGATAGATAGATAGATAGATAGATAGATAGATAGATAGATAGACATTGGAACAAATAAGATAGATAGATAGATAGATAGATAGATAGATGAATAGATAGATAGATAGATAGATGCGAAAAAGCCCCATATATTTAAAAAAAAAAAAAAAAAACCTCGCTCATTTTTATCTTTTCGAAAATAGAGGTTGTTTGAAAACCGCGGAAAAATGTCGGTACCACTCTTTCATTCTCGAAAAGGTTAAATATAGTCGTCTCTTACACTCCAATAGCTTCACGTCTCGCACTTCCCGCCTGTGAAACTCCCTTCCTCTTACTTGCTTCTCTGACAGTTATAGTCTTCAAATATTCAAATTTAATGTCAATCGACATCTTCTGACGCCTTGATCTAATTTCCTGTCCTTCTTTTTATCCTTTCCTCAATCACGCCCCTTTACTCTTGCTCCCAATCTCTGTAACACTTTATGTGCTAGTGGTACACCCGCCTTGCTTGGAGTGAAATGCTAAAAAAAAGTTATAGGCTGAAGCTGCTTGCCACATTTCATACGGATATTTATGTCATTTTCATACAATAATATATGAAAATGATAACCAGGTGAATTTGAATCGATGTCATGTGAGATAATTTCAAATAGAATTGTCATGCGTCTGACAATGGGCTCGTCTTGTTATCGATAATGGAAAGCGTATCAGTCGTCACGAACTTCACACAATCATGAATGTCGATTTGATCCACCTGCGACAAAACTGGAGTGGAGCGGGGGGTTGTATTGGGGCGGGGAGGGGTGTTAAAGACGAGTTCACTTTGATAGAAATCAGTCTAAATATAAGACGAGCTTTTATTTATATATATTTTTTTAGGGACACAATATAAAACTGGATATTAATCACATTACCTAAGAGTTCATGTCCTTTTCTCTAATCTTTGGGAAGAAAGACACGCATACTTACACTCACACACACATGCATTCACGTATACACACACCGACACACTCAGACACGCGCACGCACACTCGCATGCACACACAGCAGGGCGAATCCCCTTAAGAATCAATTATAATCGAAGCCAACGTTCCGAACTGGATTTGATGCCGAAAACATAAAAATACAATTCTGTGACTGGATTGAGTCGCTTATTTATTTGATTTCATATCGCGAATCTATAAGAGATTAACAATTTTAAAAAAATTATTTTTTGTTTCGGTTTAACAAATAATTAATATTAGACTGTGATGAGTAGTATCATCAGCCAGGCATATATAATGTCACTTCTAACGTCTTTTGAAAAAATCTCTAATAAATTTTATAAATTGTATATTTCCTTCATTTTGTGTGAAGGAATGAATACCTACGTGCTAAAAATAGAGGTAGAGAAAGAGAGAGAAAGAGAGAGGTTATGAATTATCAAACATATTAGAAATAGATTGAAAATGATTCGTGTGGAGAGTATAAGTTGAATGATGCTCTACGGTTGGGGAGGCAAACTGGATATTGTTTGAAAATAATCAGTGATAAGAGGCAGATCACAGTCTCTACCCAAAATATACAAATCAATTACTGAAGATATTTTAATTTTGATTGGTTATGTTATTCGCTTTAATGTGTGGTTTCCTGTTTCGTTAAGCAAATAAAACTTCGTGGACCGTATATAAACGCCCCATTTTGAAACAAGTGCTCACGAGCAACTAAAAGTGAACTCTGCTTATTATACTGGTCAATCTTCATCCAAAGAAAGTGATGCTGTATGTATATATATATATATGTATATATATATATATAGCGGGGGATGAGAAATATTTATCTAGATCTACAGGCGACTGATTTCAATAAGTATTTCTACCAGTTAGATCAATTGAAGGCAGCGATCAAAAGACGAAATCATCAGTCTAAAAATTAGATATTTCTGCTACATCTGGAGCTGCCCGATCCTCACTTTCCAGACGTGACACAGTTCAAGATCGTTTATATGGCCTTATGTTGGATGACTTATCTTCCACCCTACAGACCCTTTCCTAAGGACGAAACGTCACAAGCCAAGCCCTACTTCCATAGCAAATGTTTAGCAACAAGCTCAGACTATTGCTGCCAAGACCAGCCTTGTTACGTCCACAAAACTGAATCATACTTATTCCCTTCGCATTCCTTTGAGAAGAAGGATTTTTTACTCAGACAGTTTTCCAAAGAGTAGCTGCTTCGTGGAACTGGATGCTTCCTAGAATACAACGATCTTACAGTATTTACATTAGTCGGACTATTGTCCTCATCTTTGTCGCCATATTTGTCCCAACGTTTCGGCCGTTGTACGCTCCGGCCTTCTTCAGGTGGTTGGAATTTCGAACTGAACCCTTTATTTCGATCACTGGGGTAGACTGTTCTAGTTCCACGTGCCATATTTTGATGGATGTCAGTTATCAGTTATCTCCTGTTAATTTTTCCCTCTGAAAGTAAATACTGTACATAATACCTCATCTCAGAAATATAGACAGACTCACAACGATCTTAATCTCTTCAAATCAAGGGTCAAACTTTATCTACCCTAAATATCCTTCTTTCTACTTCTTAATTTTTATATAGACATCTCATTCAGTAATCCTCTGCCTTGATTGGCTTTTGGGTGGATAATAAACAGGGTGTGTCATGACTTAGATTCCCAGACGGAGAGACTAAATTCTGAAATTTTTTTAGAAAGCCATTTTGGTTTTTGGGGGGCACTATTTCAGGTTGTATTCTGTTGAAAAACATTGAATTGTAAATTTTTGCTGCAATGAAAGTAAGAGCATAGACTTGTAGGATTTTAGTTAATGTTCAGGCAGTGACATTGTACATTAACACCACCTCTACTAATAATCTCTATTTGAATTTGTCTAGTAGATCAGATTTCCGGATTTTATCCATTTTATTCAATGAGGTTCAGGCTTTAACTATATTAATTTTCATATCCTTTTCAGTAGAATTTATTCTGCTTCCTAGGTATATAAACAATTCAACAGATTTTATTGATTCATCTGAAAATGTGCTGAGTCTTGCTGTTTTAAGCTCATGAATTCAGTTTTAGAGGCATTGACATAGAGTCCAACTTTGTTAGCAGCATTTTATAGATGATGTACAAGAATGGTGCCTGCAGTAATAGATAGGTTATCTGTATAGTCAATATTAAAAAAAACTCTATATCAAAATAGAAAAAATACTCTTTATATTGCAGTAAATATGGTATATAAAAAATGTTATATTTTGCATGTGTGTATATAATACTGTTCTACATCATTACAGTAGTCCACTACATAGAAATGGATCTTTCTAGTGATGTATGAAGATCAACAAGCTTGTATACATAGAGGAAAAATTCAGCTCTTCAACTCTGCTACTGCCAACAATCTGTTCTTGCTTGGAAAACTTTTGACAAGATCAGTGACAGAAAATCAACAAATTCAAGTTAAAGGCCAATTGTCAGGCTAAAAGGCTGAATAAATTGCAAGACCATTTTTAAAATCTCTTGGGAAATCTACCTGACATTTTAGATACTGAGGTTAAAGAAATCATTGAACATCCCCTTGACATTAAACCTGGAAACTTCACAGATACAGAACATGAAATGGCTTTAAAAACACCAAAAATAAGAAAGCAGTGGGATTTGTTAACATTCCACTGAAGGTTTGGAAAACCCAGGGTTCCAATGATATTCTACTCCAATTCTGTAATGCTATATATAATGAAGAAATCATAGGAAGAAACAGAAGGATTCAGCCTTTCCAAAAAAGATTTAGGATCAAAAAAATCATAAAGCTTATCTTCATTGTAGCAAAAATTTACAATTCAACGCTTCTCAACAGAATACAACCTAAAGTAGGGAAAGTGCTCCAAAAAATAGATCAGCCATTGGACAAATCCTGGCAGTTTGGTGAATTATTGCGGGCATTAGGCCAAAGAATCTACAGGCCACCTTTTTTGTAGATTTCTCTCAAGCTTTCGATTCTATACACAGGAAAAAAAATAAAAATCCTTTGTGACACATGGCATGCTCTCTGAGAGTAGCTGCTATAATGATGCTATACAAAAGTACCAAATCTTTGATTAGATCCTCAGATAGAGACACTAACTTCTTTAACATCAAAGCAGGGTTCCTCTAAGATGACACCCTTGCAGCTTTTCTCTTTGTTATCACCCTCGACTATGTACTGAGAACTTCCCTTGACAAACATCATCATCTAGATTTATACTCTATCACCAAGACTTTCAAGTCAATATCCTTCAAAAAAGCTGTCCAATATTGACTATACAGATGACCTAACTATCACTGCAGACCCCATTACGAATGCCACAGTTCTCCTACATCATCTAGAAAATGCTGCCGTTAACGTTGGACTCTATATCCCTTATATTTCTACAATATTACGCGAACACAGAATGCGCTTTGCAGGACACTGCTGGCGGGCAAAACAAGAACTTACGCCATGGCTAGGTGTCCACCTCGCCATGGCGTAAGACGGGTTGGTCGTTCAGCAACCACCTATATTGACCAGCTATATTATGACACAAGAATGCATCCCTAATGACCTTGATACAGGGCAGTGTTGGTTAGCATGATAAACTCATGAATATCCGAGCGAGCTCAAGCGAATAAATAAAATTTACTTGATGACCAGACAATAATTTTAATAGACGAGCTTTTTACAATCATCTGCTTTATTCATCAGACATTACACGCTTGAATTATCATTTATTTAGATCTTTGCAGAATTCTTAGGAAAAATGAGTATTTGTTCAGAAAAGAAGTCCTTGACGTTAGCAGAAGATAGATGAAAAGAACGTTTAGTGTTTAATATACCTGTTGCATTATCGACCCATTAGCCTCTTTAATGTCAGTTCAACAGAAACAAAACCTCAACAGGAATAACGTTCTCAGCGCTTACCAATATTAATTTCGCCCTGCTAGATGCATAGTTGATGTCTTAACTCTTATTATTCACCGAATCAGTGAAACAATAAACAATAAATTCATCGCCAGGACCATTGCCCCGGTTATATCAAAGCTCTTTGACAAGATCTGGTATTGCGGGCTGCTACATAAAGTCTCCAGCTATGTGGAAATATTGTTGAAATAGCTAAGATGTAACCGGAAGTTCTATTAGAATCGTTTCTTCTCTCGCATTTCTTGTCTATGGAACTAAAATCCGGTTTCCTACTTCCCTGTCAACTACGATATTTCAAAATGCAAATGCCATATCAATAGCTGCCTCTCTTCTTGAAACCTGTTCTTTTATTATCCTTCCTCCTCACTAATGTTTTCACATTTTCATTCCTTTTCGTTAACCCCCTTGAGTCTTAGTTATATTATCACCTTGTTGGGGGTGAATTGATAAAAGCAAATACACTTAATATTGAAAATTTAAAATAAAAGTGGATTTACTACTATTTACCAGACATTCGGTCCTGGAGAAAGACAGCGATTTTAATAAAACAGTCGACTAAATGGAATTGATAAAGAGACATGAAAGTGCTGATAATAAAGATGGCGAAACATATATTCAAATAAAACTTAAGAATAATAATATTTTAAATAAGATAAGTTTGTGTTTTATTGCACCAGATCTGCCTTCAGTAGTAATATTTAATCTAATTACAATTAACGGTAGACGAAGTTGTAAGAATAGTTCAGTTATGTTGATCTACTTGTTCAATGAGGCCTGGTGTGTACTTGCTAAAATTTTGTGATGAGACTCCATCACTGTTTTACTCAATTAGGTTTATTACATTTCGCCGAATTCCTTACTCAAGTCTTTGTATACCCTCAGGATTGTGGGCTCGGTAAGCGATAGTCAAGCCATAAAATAGCTTTTATCTTCACTTAATAAAACGAACGAACTTTTAACAAGACCCAGAATTAGTTGAAATGCGGTAGTAAATCGATGCCAATTTATGAATCTTATTTGAAAAACAAGCTTTTTTTATTTCCTAATTTATTCTTCACTAAACTAAACCAGTTTTATTCTTGGTCAGTTCTCTCGGCCGAAAATCATAGAAATTGGGAAAACGATCTCTGCTTTCCGATTCAACATTCAAATTGCTGAGGTTATCAAAAGGTCACGCCATATTGTTAAACTGTAAGAATAAGTTTGCACGTTTTCTAAAAGTATCTTGCATAACAGTATCTAGTTTCCACTGTTAAATAATCCATGAACATTATTTATGATTAAATAAAGTGTTCCGATAAATACGTTAAATTTTAGATGTGAGTTCAATCCCTGTTTCAGGGAGTGCGAAAAATATCTTTTCCGATGGTTCAGCTGAAGAAACCAGTAAACGAGAAAAAGATTAATAAATTTTAGATAAGAGTTATCTCCCCTGAACATAGAAAGTCGAGTAAGAACATTCTAATCTTGTCGATTGAATAATGTATTCAGTTCCGTGTAGGTTATCGAGTACAACTGAATAATGCCGAACAACAGCCAAGACGATATTCTTGGTCCGAATGGAAAACTATATATTAATGATAAATACTTATCTAAAACATTCCATTAATATAAAACATTCCATTATATAATGTTTTGTTATTTCGTATCTATTAAAAAAAAAAAAGAAATTAGAGCAAAATAAAAAAGAAATAAAAAAAAAATCTATGCACGATTTTATATCCGTCTCGTAATCAATATCTGCTTTCTAAACAAAGCTTTTTGGAAAATTCGAAATCAAGAGAAGATGAAATATCCAGGAAGACGAAGCATTTTAACTTGAGCGTCATCCATCAAATTGCAGCTTTTTATGGATTGGCTATTTTTTAGCATTTCCGGTACCAATGCAGTGGAAGTAATTTAAGAAAAAAGAAATAAAATATTTTGTTTTCTCCGCCATATTTCTGCTGTGAAAAAAAATCGAGTTAGTGTGCTAAGAATAATGGATTGTTGGACATGACTGTGATTACATTGTTGGTTTCATCTGCGAAAGTAGTGCCAGTGGCCTCGTGATTTTCGCCACTTACCATTCCTTTTGGCGCGCATGCAAAAAAAGCGACGACAAGTTTTCTGAAAAAAGCTGGAAGCAATAAAATAGAGAGATATAAAGTGAATTTAGAAAAAAATCACCATTTTCATTTGTTGATGCATGTCATCAGTGTCACGATGAGCAAACCTTTTGAATAGGTTGCTTTTCTTTGAGCTGGTCATCAAGTGAATACTTAATTTCGTAGAAGCCACTATTCTGAGAATTTACCATTAATAATGGCGACTGAAAATAACACGTTGACGACTGGGTTAAAAAATATTTTTTAAAACAATGGCACACAAAGAGATGATTTCTTTAAATAAACAACACTTACAATGCCTAAAAAATTAAAAATCTCGTAATATCTAAGGTTGAAACTGTGTGTCTATCGATGGGATATACCTTTGTATATAAGGCGGCACTGATTTTCAGCTTAGCACAAAAACAAATTAACTTAAGAAAATGTCACACTTTATTGCATAAAAAACATGTATTCTCTTCAATATAAAAACAGTTTTAAAGTACCAACTAAGTCAAATATTGCCCGTTTAATATTATTCTACATTGTGGCTTTTGACAATTTAATGACGTAAAGTAATGCCTTCAGTTAATATAACACAATATCGCAAGAGCAAGTATAGGAAACCAGGCTGTGTGACCTATACATTTATAAAGTTACAATTTATTTTCCTTATTATAATCTATATATATAAAGTGGTAGATTCTGTTTGTTATCGAACACCTCCAACGGTTTAAGAGATAGACCCCCATAACCACATATATTCTGAAAGTAGATTACCTAGAGTACTTGGCTAAGTATATTTCCTTTTGATCAAATGGGGTCTCCGGGGGCACCCCCTACACACACTGACATTTGTCCCTTTTGATATAAAATACATTTAAATTTGAACACGGGAATGACTCCTAGCCTACTTGGATAGGTATATTTCCTTTGGATCAAAAGCAGTTCCAGGGGCGGGAGCACAAACCCCTCACTCAAATATTTCCCTTTGATTTCAATTGAATTTAAATTTGAACAAGGAAATGACACCTATCCAAAATACAAAAGCAAAAATCCAGAAGATGGAGATCCCATCGGCAAGATCAAAATGTTACAATATGGAAGTCAAGTTGAGCAAGAAATCACCGATCAATGGGTAGTGCCTTACAATACATATTTGTTGCGACAGTTCAACTGTCATATCATTGTCGAAATCTGATCATCAATTCATTCAATCAAGTATTGTATCAAATACATAGAAAAGGGGTCAGATCAAGCTGTTTTTATATAAATCCCCTCTGAAAATTTTTCCCTTTAAATTAAATTAAATTTCAATTTGAACAACAGAATGACTCCTATCTAAAATAAAAGAGAAAACCAGAAGATGGAGGTCACATCAGCAAGATCATTGAGTAATATTGAAATCCATCATTTTTCTCCATAAATTATAATAATGATTTAAAATCATTTATCATTTTCTTACAAAAAAAAATGTGTGACACACAACAAAAAGCTAGTTTTATATATATATATATATATATATATATATATATATATATAT